ATGTGTCTTCGGCGGACAGCCCGCGGTCTTTGAAACGTTTTCAGAATTTTTGCGGCAGACAGACGCAAGTGTGTTTCTGTATGTCTATGTTGAAAACAAAACCAAAGGTTAAAAAAAAGAGGAACAAATGTCAACCGAGCAAGTCTATCCATTTGGGCGCCTTTTCATTCGCGGTTACCAAGCAACACATTACGCCAGCTGCAGCCTGATGACGCAAGCGTACCGCGGTTCGGATAGAAATAATATAATGTGAACACAGTCCATCGGGGCCAGGGGGAGGGGGGAGCAATCGAACTCAGGTTTGGAACAGGCAATCGAACTCAGGTTTGGAACAGGCAATCGAACCAAGTGTGAAAGCGCCCTGAGTCAATTACTGAGGCCCACACTACTGCGTTTTAGTTTAGAAACGGATAATTAAAACGAATACGATCTCCGTCCACACCAGCGTTTTAGCTGTGTATTAGAATTGATCTCCGATCTCCGCCCACATTAAAACGACTGAAAACGCGGATCACGTGACCATTCACCAACACTGGGCATGCGCGTGCTGGTGTAAACACAACTTCATTGATAAAATGATCCCACCATGCTCTGGGTTAACCCCAAACCGACGCTCCATGTACGGTCAACGCCGCCGCTGCACACGGGAATTGTCACAGATCGCTCGAATAATAGCTTGACTCCGGCGCATGTTGCCAGTTATAGCGTTGTAAAATGCAAAATTTACTTGTACAACAGCTGCTAGCAAAGATATACGCCATGACTGATGACACCCAATCATAGAGCCGAGCGTGAGCCTCTACTACGTCATCGTTTCTAAAGTCCTCCGTTTTGACCCGTCTACACTAAAACGCCCTCCGGAGATTCAAAACAATAAACGGATCGGCAGCGTTTCTAAACTTCTCCGTTTTGGGTCTCCGTTTTTGCCGTTTAAGTGTGGGAGGGAGGTGCAAACGTAGCAAAAGGTCTCCGTTTTTAAACGAAAACGCAGTAGTGTGGACGGGGCCTGACACCCTCACCCTCACCCCTTTGTCTTTATGCATTTCCTGACCATTAAGCTCAATGTACAGCTGTGCTTTTGTCTGTATGATAATGTTAATGTGTGGGCGATCTAGTCAGGCTGATTGGATCACTGTTTTGCTGATGAGATCAGGGCTGTGGAAATTCTGGTAACGAGCTGATGCCTATACTGTATTTGCAAACTTTGTGAAGGGAAGGTCTCCACCTCTTTGTAAATCCCTCCTCCTAAATGTATATAAATTGCAATGTAAAGTTCCCTTAGTTCCGATTTGATGACTACAGAGCTGTGAGTCTTGGGGCCCTTTCACACCTACCTTGTTTGGTCCGGACTTTCGGACTTTTCAGTTTGGTCCGAATCAAAATGACAGGTGTGAAACCTCCCCCGGACCACGGTCCGGACCAAACAGATGAAATTTGGTCTGACGAAAAGAGGTAGTCTCGGTCCGGATCAAACTGAACAAAGGTTTGGTTCGTTTCTAGTGTGAAAGCATTTCTGTATGGTTCGGACTTTCGGACCTTTTACAGGAAGTTCCGGTGGTTCCCGCATAGCCGAAAAAACAGAAGGTGGCAGGAAAAATGAGCCGTGGTAGCACATGGGGAGAGGAGGAGACTGAAAAGCGATTATGCGTGTTGATAGCACGCCAAAAATGGAAATACAAATTGGCGTGTCATACATAGGCCATTTCATGAGATCCGTCTGAATTATGCCATAAAAATAACAATATAATTGCAACGATATGCGTCTGTTCATTCATGTTGTCAAAGTTACCCGCCGAAGTGACAACACGCTGACGTCAGACACACGTCCATTTACATTTACATTTAGTCATTTAGCAGACGCTTTTATCCAAAGCGGCTTACAACTCAGGACTAAACCAAGCGAGTCATCGTGAAGAGGCAAAAACAACGCAAGAAGTGCTCAAAATACAAAGTTCCGACATAGCTCGGAGTAGCATAAGCCAGGCAAGCGAGGATTTAGAGGAAAGGATTTTTTTAATTTTTTAATTTATTTTATTTTTTATGTTAAGTGCTCCCGGAAGAGATGAGTTTTCAGTTGTCTTTTGAATGCTGTCAGGGATTCTGCATTCCGGATGAGGGTGGGGAGATCATTCCACCAGCATGGAACCGTGAATGAGAATGTTCTGGAGAGTGATTTTGTGCCCCGCTGTGATGGTACTACTAGCCGTCGCTCATTGACCGATCGTAGGCTTCTGGTAGGGATGTAGACTTGTAGTAGTGAGTGGAAGTAGGAGGGAGCTGAACCTGTGGTCAATCTGTAAGCAAGCGTCAATGCCTTGAACTTGATGCGAGCAGCGAGTGGTAGCCAGTGCAGAGAGATGAACAGAGGAGTGACGTGGGCCATTTTGGGCTCGTTGAAGACAAGACAAGCTGCAGCATTCTGGATCATTTGTAGAGGTTTAGTTGCACATGATGGAAGTCCAGCCAGAAGAGCATTGCAGTAATCAAGCCTAGAAATGACCAGGGCCTGGACGAGAAGTTGTGTTGCATGCTCAGTTAGGAAAGGCCTGATCTTCCTGATGTTGTGCATAGCAAACCTGCATGATCGAGCTGTCTTTGTAATGTGGTCTGTGAAGGTCAGCTGATCATCAAAGATTACTCCAAGATTTCTGACCGACCTTGATGGGGTGATTGAGGAAGAATCTAGCTGGATAGTGAGGTCATGCTGTAGAGACTGATTGGCAGGGAGGACGAGAAGCTCAGTCCTTGCCAGGTTGAGCTGCAGGTGATGTTACTTCATCCATGCCGAGATGTCCGCCAGACAGCTTGAGATCCGTACAGCTACTGTGGGATCATCTGGTTGAAATGAGAGGTAGAGCTGGGTGTCATCAGCATAGCAATGGTAAGAGAAACCATGTGCCTGTATGATAGGTCCCAGTGATGTGGTGTAAATGGAGAAGAGGAGCGGTCCGAGAACTGAACCCTGAGGAACGCCTGTGGTCAGTTGATGTGCTTTGGATACCTCACCTCTCCATGTGATCTTGAAGGACCTACCTGTGAGATAGGACTCAAACCAGTGGAGGGAAGATCCTTTGATGCCCAGTGATGAGAGGGCGAACAAGAGGATCTGATGATTCACAGTGTCGAAGGCAGCAGACAGGTCCAGTAGAATGAGAACTGATGATTTGGAAGCAGCTTTTGCGATCCGCAGGGCTTCCGTGACTGACAGCAATGCAGTCTCAGTTGAATGGCCTTTCTTGAAGCCAGATTGGTTGACATCCAGCTGGTTGTTCAGAGACAGGAAGGATGATACTTGGTTAAAAGCAACTCGTTCAAGTGTTTTCGCAATGAATGGTAGGAGAGAGACAGGTCTGTAGTTCTCTAGAAGTGATGTGCTTAATGTTGATTTTTTAAGCAGAGGAGTTACCCGAGCCTGCTTAAATGCTGTAGGGAAAATGCCAGTGTGGAGGGATGAGTTGATAATGTGTGTGAGAGCTGGTAGAAGTGTGGGAGAGATGGCTTGTAGAAGGTGTGAGGGGATGGGGTCTAGAGGGCAGGTGGTAGGATGACTGGAGAGGAGAAGTTTAGATACTTCTTCCTCGGTTAGTGGAGTGAAGGAGGAGATAAGGTTATTGGCTGTGGGAGAGGTTAGTCTGGGTTCCTGTGTGTGTGAATCTGAGAACTGACTGCTGATAGTTGTAGTTTTGTTAGTGAAGAAGTTAGCAAAATCATCAGCAGTTAAAGAGGAATCAATGTCAATCATTTACAAACCAATCAATGTCGAGATGCAGCCCACATAGATGATGACGACAGGACGCAAGTGTGTCACGTAAAGTTCTTTAGTGCGCTCGCATAATTGCAGTGTGAAACCAAACCAAAACTTTCTGAAAGTATAAAATGTATCAAAACGTGAACTTTGGTTCGGACCTTGGTGCGAACTTTCAGGTGTGAAAACGCCCTTAAAGGACAAGTTCGGTATTTTACACTTAAAGCCCTGTTTTAAGATCGTTTCTGATGTAAAAGAACGGTCACTGCAGACGATGCTTCCCAACAGGTTTTATCGTAGTTTTTATTTTTATTGTATTTTTTTACTTGGAATGGACAAAAACTACGATAAAACCTGTTGGGGAAAGCATCTTTTGCAGAGATTTTTGTGTGAGCATATCAGTGAACCCCCCTGACCACTCGGTGAGTTTCACGTCTTTGTAAACTAAAGTTTAATGCGTTTTAGGAAGGATTTTTCCAGTGCACCGATGCAACCATTGTGAACCGAAAATTCTGTTACCACAGAAACCGAAATTTCTCGGGACAGCAGCATGTGTCCAAATTTCAATCTTAACCGTTCTATTTCATCAGAAACAATCTTAAAACAGGGCTTTAAGTGTAAAATACTTGTCCTTTAAAGAATCCTGCTGAAGATACAACCGAGTCTCCTGGTTTTCGCTTCTGAGTTTCCTACACTTTAGAAGAAAAAGTTCACAACAGTATAAACATTATGACACTATTGTATAATTTTAATGCTTATATTACATTAGATAATTCTGTCATTGATCAAATATATTTAATAGTTCTTGCTACAGAAACATGGGATTTGTGTCTATAAAAATAATTATTAGAAGATCAATGTACCTCATTTATGGATAGTACTTTTTGTTATTACATCAGAGCTCTTTTTATATCATTTCACTTCACATTTCTGTCTTTGAATTATTTTTGTTGTACTAATAATGATTTTTTTTTTCTTTCATGTCAGACCTGATGGAAGCGAGCGAGGAGAGTGAAGAACTGAGTGAAGTGGAGGAGGAGAGTGAAGAACTGAGTGAAGTGGAGGAGGAGAGAGAAGAACTGAGTGAAGTGGAGGAGGAACATCATGTCCAACCTGGAGGAAAACCCTTGAGTCGCTCAAAGACTAAACAGACATTTTTAAAGAAAAGAAGAGCCAAGAAATCTTTCACCTGCACTCAGTGTGGAAACAGTTTCACAACCAAACAATGTCTTGAGCGTCACATGAGAGTTCATACTGGAGAGAAGCCGCACACGTGTGATCAGTGTGGGAAGAGTTTTACACGAAAACAACACCTTCAAGGACACATGATGATCCACACTGGAGAAAAGCCGTATGCATGTGATCAGTGCGAAAAGAGTTACTCACAAAAGAAAAATCTTAACCTTCACATGAGGATCCACACCGGAGAGAAACCATTCACGTGTGATCAGTGCGAAAAGAGATTCTCAAATAAACAATATCTTGACCTTCACATGAGGATCCACACTGGAGAGAAGCCGTTCACGTGTGATCAGTGCGGGACGAGCTTTACACAAAAACCTCACCTTAAGAAACACATGAGGATCCACACTGGAGAAAAGCCGTATGTATGTGATCAGTGCGAAAAGAGTTACTCAGAAAAGAGAAGTCTTGACCTTCACATGAGGATCCACACCGGAGAGAAACCATTCATATGTGATCGGTGCGAAAAGAGATTCTCAAATAAACAACATCTTGACCTTCACATGAGAGTTCACACCGGAGAGAAGCCGCACACGTGTGATCAGTGCGGGACGAGCTTTACACAAAAACCTCACCTTAAGAGACACATGAGGATCCACACTGGAGAAAAGCCGTATGTATGTGATCAGTGTGGAAAAGGTTTTGCAGAATCATCAAACCTTAATGTTCACATGAGAATGCACACCGGAGAGAAGCCGTTCACATGTGATCAGTGCGGGAAAACATTTTTTAGGTCATCAGACCTGAAGAAACACCGGAGAGTTCATACAAAGGAAAAGCCGTATTCATGCTCTGAATGTGGAAAGAGTTTTTTAAACCAAAAAAATTTGAAAGTACATCAGAAAACTCACACTGGTGTGAGAGAGTACATGTGCTTTGAGTGTGAGAAGACTTTTACTTCAGGGAGACATTTAAAACTGCACAAGAGGATCCACACTGGAGAAAAACCTTACAAGTGTTCACACTGTGACAAGAGATTCAGTCTATCAGAATCTCTGACAACACATGAGAGGATCCACACTGGAGAGAAACCTTACAAGTGTTCACACTGTGACAAGAGATTCAGCCAGTCACAACATCTGAAAACACACAAGAGGATTCACACTGGAGAAAAACCTCACAAGTGTTCACACTGTGATAAGAGATTCAGTCAGTTAATAAATCTGAAATCACATGAGAGGATCCACACTGGAGAAAAACCTTACAAGTGTTCACACTGTGACAATAGATTCAACCAGTCGTCATCTCTGAGATCACATGAGAGGATCCACACTGGAGAGAAGCCGCACACGTGTGATCAGTGCGGGACGAGTTTCTCTACTAAAAGTGGCCTGAAGCGACACATGAAGATCCACACAGTGGAGAAACCACATCAGCACAGTCTGAGATCACGGTAAGTAGTTCATCTTTATGTGCTGAGAAACAGAATCTCTTCTGTGTAAGTTAGCCACAGCCAAATCTCTCTTCTCCACCTACACCTTCCGTGATGTTGTAAAGTGCTTGAAGAGTACAGTAGTAAAGTGCAATATATTAAATGCCCCATTCATTCATTAGTTTTCCTTAACAGCCGCAATAAGCGACAGGACATTTAGTTGTTTGATTTGTATCTTTTAACTTGTTCAACAGGAATGTGTGGCATGAAATTGTTGTTTAATATTTAAATGTAATTCGTCTGTTCAGACTGATGCAAAACATAGGAAATTCACTCTTTGACAGTAGGTGGCGCTGGTAATACATAGCAAGTTTGTTTTAGACACCTGCTTGTTACAGAGAAAGAAAGAGGGGCAAACAAAATTATGTTTTCAAAGATGATGCTTCTAGATTCTTCCTCAAAAGGGATAGTTCACCCCAAAATGAAAACTGTGTCAGTAATTACTCTCCCTCATGTTGTTCAACCCCGTAAGACTTTCATTCATCTTCGGAACACAAATTAAGATATTTGTGATTAAATCTGAGAGCTGGATCACTCCTCCATAGGCTTCTAAGGGATTGAAACTTGACAGACCAAAAAAGTCACTAAAGACATCGGGAAAATAGTCCGAGTGACTACAGTGGCTCAACCTTAAGTTTATCAAGTAACGAGAATACTTTTTGAGCGCAAAAAAACTAACAAAAATAACGCCTTTATTCAAGTATTCATTTCCACCTCGGTCGGCCTGGGGTGAACTATCCCTTTAGGCCCAATCCCAATTCTACCCCTTTCCCCTTCGTCTACCCCTAACCCTTCACCCTTCCCCTTCCCCTTGACCCTTGAAACAGAGTGGCAAGGCGAAGGGGTGAAAATATTCCCCTAAGAAATGGGACACCACTACTACACGGTTACACGTCATTATACGTCGTCGCTAGCGCCTACGTCACAGATGCGCCGATGTTTATCACAAACTTCCAAGATGCTGTCGACAGCTGCAGTCATCTCAGTTGCATGGGTTACAGCTATTTTTTTGCATTTGTCTTGTGAAGCACAGTAACGTTTAACAGACTCCCGCCCAAAGTTGTTTTGCCTTGTATTTGGACTTGAGGAAATGTTGCTCGTTGTCAACGCGAAAACGAATTATCCTCCGGGTTTCCTCAGGTGTCCCTGTTTGATAAAGACCATACAAGACTGGTTGATCTGATCATATTGCAAAAAGCACAAAACTGTAAGCACTGTTCGTTTATATCGTGTTCACATATAACCACAAAAAAACAATGCGTTCATAGCAGATGTACTGTAAAATATAAGCCAATTCCCTTCCGCAATTATTTTCACCAGTTGACATGAAAATATGTTGCGGGACTATCGTTAGCAAACTTCAGCGATGTTTTTTTTTACAAACATTTTTTTGAAGAAACTGACCGTAAATATGAACACAAGATTGAATGTAACATAAAGGAAATCATTATTTGTCGTTAAAAATGTAAAAAATTTTGCGTGGGCAGCCATTTTGCGTCTGTAGACGGTGTATGCAGTGACACTTCTCATACCCCTTCGTTTGAAGTGTGGTCCCGAAAAATCTTCGTTTGAAGGGCTATCTGGCCCTTCCCCTTACCCCTACCCCTCCAACCAAAAGAGAATTGAGACAGCCCTACCCCTTCACGTGCACGCGCAAAACAGAGGGGAAGGGGTAAGTGAAGGGGTAAGGGGTAGAATTGGGATTGGCCCTTAATGTAAGAAAATTGTTTGACTGTGCGCATATGCTAGTGCAGTGAATCTCAACTTTCTTTGAGTGCTGAAACCCTGTCATGTTTGGAACCATCCTCAAACCAGATTTGATTGGTTTAATTACTTCACTTTTTATTTCACATTTTTCTTTCGTTTGACATGTCACATGATTTAATGTTTCTTTTAGACCTGATGGAAGAACCAGAGAGAAACCTTACACATGTGATCAATTCGGGAGGAGCTTCACGGATAAAGGAAACTTTAAGAGACAGACGAGGATCCACACTGGAGAGAGACCATACACATGTGGTCAGTGTGGGAACAGTTTCATAAGTAAACAAAACCTTAAGAATCATAAGAGGATTGTTGTATTTCTATACCGCTGTAACCTTATAAATCATCCTGAAACATTCCCATAACCTGTTACAATCATAACTTTAAAGATGCTAGACGTTAATTCAGGGTCCTCTGCGGTTATTCCAAGTTTTTTTGCTCAAAACTGCCTGCTGTTATTTTATAACCTGATGAGCTCAAGGCGAGAACAAGTTATTTTTAACAAATTGCTTGCTTGAACTGCTTAAGAAGTAAATTACTCTTTGTACATCCAGTTCTCCAGGACCACCCTGGGAAGGGATTTGCTGAAGAATCATAATATGTAACCTTTTGTTTTTTTGCTAAAATGTTTTGATTGTGTAACCAAGTATATTTCTCTTTTGTTTAAATAAATTTTTCTTATATAAAGACAAGTATTTTTTCGTCTTACTTCAGCTGTTCAAAGATAATTCAAATAGCAATAGAATAGGCATTTTGTACATCTTCACTGACCAGGACAAAAAGAGATCCAGGAAGCTTTCTAAGCATGAAAGATTATTTGAGTCAAAGATTGTTATTGTTGTATATGGTGTTATAGGACATACCTTATATTTAACTGGTATAACAAAATAGCCAAGTGTAGTAAACCTGAGCTGACAGCACAAGACTACCTTACTAGGGGTTATTCAGGCAATGAGGTAAATACCAGATCTCACAACAATATCTAAACTACAACAAAATAAAGATATTTCTAGGGAAAAAATCACTGATTTGAAAGTTTTTCGAATAACCAAAGAATGGTTTCGTTTTACATAAGTTTCAGAACAATACAAAGACAATAATTAAAAAAGGGAAAAAATAACAGACATGCATATTTCTCCTAACCCTAACCCTAACCCTTTCCATAAATTGATGCACGGCGCTCCTTCCGCGGAGATAAACAATTCACAAACCTCCCTCCTGGTTAAAGGGATTCAAAGATCCCAGCCCACCCGCCCAGACGCCAGACAACCCATAACACTAGACATTCTCACCAAATGTATTCAGGCCTTGCGCACAGGCTACCAGCCCCTCAGTTCCACTCGCACACTCGATGCCATGTTTATCCTAGCCTTTTTTGGGTTTCTTAGATGCTCAGAACTCGCCATCACTTCCAAATTCGACCCAAAAATCCACCCCACCATCTCAGACTTATCAGTAATTGACGGCGAAACCATTTCATATTTGATTAAACTAAGACTGACCAAACCAAAAAAGGTAATTTCATCTACATTTTTAACCTCGCTTCGCAAATCCAACCATACCAGTCAATTCTGGCATATCTGCAATGGAGAAGTTCCCAGGCTAAATCTCCTCTGCAACCCCTGTTTTTAGATGAATCCAAAAAACCTGTGACACGTTTTTGGTTCCAAAAACACCTCAAATTTGTTCTCCAACAGTCAGGCATTCCAGCAAAGAATTTTTCAAGTCACTCATTCCGCATCGGGGCAGCAACTTCAGCAGCCCAAAAAGGCCTTCCCCAACAGCAGATTCAAGCCCTTGGGAGATCGTCCTCCGATGCCTTCCAAAGCTATATCAGGACCAACAGGTTCCACATTAAAAAAGCCCACCAAAGCCACCCCTCATCGAGTAAAAAACAAAACAAAAAAACTCCTCTTTCCTGTCTCTTTCTGTCCAGCGAGCATTGATCTCACAGCGGACGGAGTGAGAACTTTCCCAGTAGAGCACTTAAGTTTTCTCTTTCATCCAGCGAGCATTTGGTCTCTCAGCGGATGCAGTGTGATAAAATTTCCTGGGCAAGCACTCTTTTTCCTCTTTTCAGTTTTCCTCTTTTCCATCCAGTGAGCATTGGTCTCACAGCAGACGGAGTGAGAACTTTCCCAGTAGAGCACTTACGTTTTCTCTTTCATCCAGCGAGCATTTGGTCTCACAGCGGATCCAGTGTGAGGAATCTCCTGGGCAAGCACTCTTTTTCCTCTTTTCAGTTTTCCTCTTTTCCATCCAGCGAGCATTGGTCTCACAGCAGACGGAGTGAGAACTTTCCCAGTAGAGCACTTACGTTTTCTCTTTCATCCAGCGAGCATTTGGTCTCACAGCGGATCCAGTGTGAGGAATCTCCTGGGCAAGCACTCTTTTTCCTCTTTTCAGTTTTCCTCTTTTCCATCCAGCGAGCATTGGTCTCACAGCGGACGGAGTGAGAACTTTCCCAGTAGAGCACTTACGTTTTCTCTTTCATCCAGCGAGCATTTGGTCTCACAGCGGATGCAGTGTGAGGAATCTCCTGGGCAAGCACTCTTTTTTCCTCTTTTCAGTTTCCTCTTTCTGTCCAGCGAGCATTGGTCTCACAGCGGACGGAGCATGAACTTTCCCGGTAGAAGCACTCACGTTTTCTCTTTCGTTCAGTGAGCATTTGGTCTGACAGCAGATGCAATGTAGAAAAATCTCCTGGACAAGTACACTACAACCGCTCCCCGTTCGCAGACAATCAGGGGCCGTCAGTCCAGGCAGTGAGTCTCCATCATTGGCCTCCCCGATCAAGCACCCAGGCCCCTTCTCGAGTTACCAGCCCGCCAATCTCGGCACTCATTTGGGGGTCTTTTAGTCCGGCGGCTGTCCTCTGCTCTTTAACCTATTGGGGGGAGTACTCTGGGTTCGGGCCGAATTCCGAGCTCGGAGCCCTGCCTCCGGACAGCACGCCAAATACGCATTAAATCTTACTCCCTCAAAATTATATGTAAGTGTGAACTCGTTAATGCCAATACAACAGGATACACACCGGAGAAAGACCTCAATGCGGGAAGAGTTTCATTCAGGCTTTCGTTCTGAAATCACATCTGCTTCTCATTCTAAAGAAAGACCATTTAAAGGGTAACTCAACCTCGAGGGTTTACAAGCAAGGCTTATTTTGGTAAGTCAGACTTATTGTTGGTTGATTCTGTTTCATAAAGCAAACTTAAAATAGTTCAAACTCAGTTACTCTGGCAACTTATGCTGGGAAAGTAACCAGGTCCAGAGCAGGCTGACTGTCAGGCTAAGCCTTAGTTGTTACACAGATCCTCTAGCATTGACCAATAGGAACACAATGACTGACACTCTCTCATACCATTATTTGACTTTATTAACCACTATCAGTCCAAAAATAAATATAAAGTAAATAAAATCAACTTAAATAAGGCTACAATGATAAATGAGACAATATCGATCTAAAAGTGTTAAATTGTATATGAAATGTTTATGTTAACGTTGTTATATATGTAAAGACTGGGCGAGGGTGAATCTGAAAGGACTAAATACATCCTGCTAAAGGGATACAAATGACTTGTATACAGTTTATACAAATGACTTAAACAGAGAAAATTTGTTTTCGTTTTGAATCAGATCATTTAAAAGTACAAATTTAAATGATTATAAAGATCTATATCTCATGTCTGGGTGAATAGTATTCGCTGAGTTTTGTTTCAGTTTAGAGACGTGCTCAAGAAAAAAAGTTCAACGAGACGGAGAGGCAGAAAGCACACCCTGATTATTTTCTTTATTTTACAAAAGAACAAAGTTTCGTTTCAATTGTAAGTGGACACATAAAAAAATAGACATTTAACAGTTTATTTTGTCATATTTCTTAAGTCTGTATGACCAGAAATGGAGTAGTTTAAGTCTATTTTTCTGCTATGTGAAAAAAATCTGCTAAAACGCGCCGGCGCGTTTGCCGACCTCAGAGGTTTAAAGCCCGGTTCTGTCAACACTGCATTGGCTCCCTATCAAACATTGTATACATTTTAAAATACTGCTGATTACTTGCAAAGCACTAAATGGTTTAGCTCCGCAGTACTTGAGCGAGCTCTTAACGCATTATAGACCGAGATTGGTGACCCATGTTCTAGGTATTATCAACTGGACAGAATTTTGAGATCGCAATAGATGTGAATATTACGATCTCAAAATTCTGGCCAGTTGATAATACCTAGAACATGGGTCCCTACCTTCAAACCGAAGCATTGAGAACTTTGTAAGTGTACAGACCGTTTAATAAGAAGATATTTTAAACATACAGTCAACTTCGCATATACAGACAGGAGCCATCTTTGAAATACAGCCTTTACCAGTCGATCTACGAACGCCGATCCAAGTGCGCTGGTGAGAATGTGAACGAGCTATAAGTTGTGATAAGGTGAGCGCGAACAGCAGGCTTGGATCGGCGTTCGTAGATCGACTGGTAGAGACTGTATTTCAAAGATGGCTCCTGTCATATACGCGAAGTTGACTGTATGTTTAAAATATCTTCTTATTAAACTGTCTGTACACTTACAAAGTTCTCAATGCTTCGGTTTGAAGGTAGGGACCCTCATTATGCTACCGTGTTAGTGTGGGGCTATTTTCAGCCTTGTTAGTGGTATTAACAAGCGATTTTTATTTGTCATTACACTATGCCCAATATACTAGCGTTATACTAGCTTTATAGGCTAAACTGTTTTTAGAGATAAAACTATTTACATTCGATAATCATGAAAACAAATCTCAGATAATGGTTGACTAGGTAACAATGTGTAATTAGACCAAAGGTTCATTTTGCGCCGGAGTTCTCCTTTAATAAAAAATAGATGCCTACTTAAATAAAAAAGTTTTAACTTTTACTTTACTCTTTTACTAACTCTTTAAAACTTCTTAAAACAAACAGTCTCAAAACATATAAAATAAATGATTTGCTAAAATAATGACAAAACTGAGAAATCAGAAATATAATAAGAGCAAGGGTTCAACAATGACAATTATTGTTGAAAACTGTAAAAATATTATTATTTCTCAACTGTATCAATACAGTGTAACTGTCCACTGGGTTGTGTTGCGAAAGACACGCAAGCTCACTTACCTCTCTGCCGTCGTGCGCGTGCGCGGTTAGGAGCGCGCCGTTAAGAGCTCAACACATCTGTCTCGCATGCACGCTCGCTCGCTATAGATTACAGGATATTTTAACTAATTTGCGGTAAAACTAGTCGATCACGAATGGCTCAACTGGTAGATCTATAGATAAACTTATCTTTCAGGCATTTGACCGACCGGGTTGACACTTCAGCGTGAGAAATCGGGGTGTGGCGTGAGAGCGTGAGAATTGGCTCAATTGCGTGAGTCT